CTTACATCGAGGATTTATACACAAAGCTGCCAGAAGGGCTGTCCTTCATGAAGTTGGACATGAGCCATGTGTACTTACAATTGTGGTCAGATGAGGATTCCCAGAAATGTGCTACAAATAAAACACATAAGGGCTCATACCAATGTATGAAACTGCCGTTTGGGGTACTGGGAATTTTTCAGCTGACGATAGAGAACATTTTACAAGGTCTAACCCAGATTGCCATTTATCTGGATGACATGCTAATAATAGGGAAGACCAATAAGGAGCATTTAGAGAACCCGGACATAGTCCTTAGATGTTTCTCCCAGGCGGGTATTTGCCTTAAAAGGGAAAATGTGTGTTCCAGGCACCCAAAGTGACCTACTTGGGCAGCAACTTCAACAAGACTGGGTTACAACCTGTTGGAAGATAAAGTGAGGGCAATCGAAGGTGCCCCAGCTCCCACGTCTGCACTGGAGCTTAGGTCTTTCCTTGAGTGGGTTGGTGAATTATTACGGAAAGTTCATACATAATCTGGCCTCCATCTTGTACCTTTGCTTCAATTCTTAATAAAGGGTCAGCCTTGGAAATGGTCGCAGAGCCAAGCCATAGCTTTCAGGGAAGTGAAGAAACAGCTGCCATCCTCACTAAGATCTCAAGTGAGATCTGGTATTGACAGGCGAGGCCTCTCTGTAAAGCATTGGGTAGTATCAGCTCATGGGTGGCTCAGTGGAGAGGAACGCTCAATAGCATACGCATCCAGAATTTTAGCTAATGCAGAGCTTCAATATGCCCAGATAGAGAAGGAAGGTTTGGCGGTCACACTTCGAGTCAGGAAGTTCTCCCAATATCTTTATGCATGTAAATGTGTAATAATAACTGATCACAAATCCCTGGTAGGTCGACTTAAAGTGAACAAGGCAGTGCCACTCATAGGTTCAGGCTACACTCAGCAGTGGGCTCTAATACAAAGTGCGTATAATTATAAGTTGGAACGCCATCTGGGAGGCCAGGTAGCAAACGCCACTGGAAGAGTCTGTAATGATTTTAAATTTTATGGGCACACTTCCAGTGACAGCTGAGAATATCAGACTTTGGATGCAGAAAGATCCAATCCTGGCAAAATTGAAACAGCTGCCGGTGATGGGGATGCCAAAGGGTCGGCACAACTGGAATTAAAATCTTATGGAGTCCGAGCGACCAGATCATAGTAGAAGACGGCGTATTATTGTGGGGGGCAAGAGTGATTGTCCTGAGTAACGGTCGCCACCAGATACTGGCTGAACTCCACCAGGATCATCCAAGGGTTTCCAAAATGAAGATGTTGGCGAGAAGTTATGTCTGGTGTTCAGATCAGCTGCAGGCATAGCCACATTGATGGGGCAATGCCCAGAGTGCCAACAAGGACAAAAATAACTGCAAACCCCTCCCCCACCTTCATGGGAATGGACTCGGTTACATGTTGACTATGCAGGTTCTTTCATAGGTTCAATGTTCTTAGCCATTGTGGATGCCCATGTGGATGTACATGGAGTTCGTTCGCCAAACATGGGGATGACAAGAGAGAAACTGCGCATATGTTTTGCTCTACACATACTCCTTGAAGTGTTGGTCTCAGGTAACTGGCCATTGTTTACCAGTAGGGAATTTGAGTATTTCCTAAAGTTGAATGGTATTCGACATATAAGGACAGCTCTATACCATCCATTATCTGGCAGAAAGAGCAGGCCAGATTTTGAACTCAGGCTTAAAGAAACAGCCTACAGCTTCACTAGATACCAAACTGTCCTGGTAGCTATTTGATTACAGGACCACCAGTCATGCAACTACAGGGATAGCTCCAGTTGAGTTATAATAGGGAGAAGACTCTGCACCAGGTTAAATCTAATCTTCCTGGACTGGGAGGCAGGGTAAAATGGTATCAGGAATGCCAGTGCTGGACACAAGATTCCTCTAAGCAAGAGAGACAGTTTATTTCAGGGGACAAAGTTTGCTGTAGGAACTACGGGAATGGGCCTGCATGGGTAGAAGGCATGGTTGATGTGAAGTCATGTTCAGTGATATATAAAGTTTGGGTAGGCGTGACGGTCCTGACCAAGCATGTGGACCATATGAAAGCTTCAAACTCACAAATGGTGTGGGAGCAAAATGTGCCTAGCTCCACGGCAACCTTTCCAACTGTTCCAGAACCCATGGGTTCTCTCTCTCCATCAAGTGTTAAAGGTACCTCAGAATCTGAGGTAGACATGGCAGATGTCACTGCCTCAATGCCTTTGCTGTCTGAAGAAGACAACGAATTTCTTGAGAGACACTCTGCACACAAAAGGCGAGTTAACGTGTATGACACATCACCCATATCAGGTGCAGAGTTGGAGGAACCTGATGCAGTGCTAAAACGTCCCAGGAGGAGCTATATAAAAAAAAGAGCCGGCCTATCTCCTTGGACTCAGACAGGGAGGGATGAAGTGATTGTAAAGAGGTCAGCCAGGTGGACACATAGAATATGAGCTCCCTGGTTGGGGATGGTAATCGGGTCCAATCAGGGAGCCTTGGCTGACAGATAAAAAAACGGCAGTGTCAGACATCCTCTTCACTCTGAGAGGTGGTTCTGAGAGAGCTGGATCAGTGCCAAGGACTCTCTGCGTGTAAATAAAGGATGACTTCGTGATGGGATGCCAGCCTCTGTGGAGTTATTTCACAGGCCCTTCAGCCCACCATGTCTGTGTCAATCATGATACCATTCTAACCCAATCCCACCCGCCTGCCCATGGTCCCTATCCCTCTATTCCCTGCCTGTTCATGTGTCTGTCTGAATGTCTCTTAAACTTTGTTATCATATCTGCTTCTACCCTCCCCCGGCAGCGTGTTCCAGGCCCCTATTACCTTCTGCGTAAAATACCTTCCTCACACATCTCTTTAAACTTTCCCTCTCTCACCTTAAACCTATGCCCCATAGTATTTGACATTTCCATCTTGGGGAAAAGACTCTGACAATCCATCCTATTCATGCCTCTCATAATTTTATATACTTCTATCAGGTCGCCCCCACGCCCAGCCTCTGATGGCTCCTGGTGAAAACAGTCCAAGTTTGCCCATTCTCTTATAGCTAATATGCTCCAATCCAGGCAATATCCTGGTAAACCTCTTCTGGACCCTCTGCAAAGCCTCACATCCTTCCTACAGATGACGACCAGAACTGTACACAATACTCCACATATGACCTGTGCAAAGTCTTATATAGCAGCAACATGACTTGTCAATTTTCATACTCCATGTCCCAACAGATGATAAGCAAACCATATGCCTTCTTTACCACCTTATCCACTTACGTTGCCACTTTCAGGGAGCTATGGCCTTGCACTCCAAGATACCTCTGTATATCAATGCTCTTAAGGGTCCTGCCATTTACTGTATGCTTTCCCCATGCATTTGGCCTCCCAAAATGCATCACCTCACACTTGTCTGGATTAAACTCCATCTACTAATTTTCCAACCAATATTCCATCTGGGAATCTATATCTTGCTCTATTGTTTGATATCCTTTCTCACTATCCATAACTGCCACAATTTTCATGTCCTCTACAAATCTACTAATCAGACCACCCACATTTTTATCCAAACCATTTACATATATTACAAACAACAGAGGTCCCAGCGCTGGTCCTTGTGGAGCACCACTGATTGTAGATTTCTAGTCAGAAAAACACCCCTCCATGACTACCCTCTGTCTTCCGTAACCAAACCAATTTAGAACAAAAACAGAAGTTGCTGGAAAAGCTCAGCAGGTCTGGCAGCATCTGTGAAGGAAAAAACAGAGTTAACGTTTGGGGTGCGGTGACCCTTCCTCAGAACTTAATTTAATATCCAACTTGCCAACTCACCATGGATTCCATGGAATTTGATCTTCTGGACCAACCTACCATGAGGACCTTGTCAAATATTTCAGTAAAGTCTCCACCAACATCCTATCCTCATCAATCATTTTCATCACTTCCTCAAAAAACTCAAGCAATTTCTGAGGCAAGACTTCCCCCACAGAAAGTCATGCTGACTGTCCTGAATAAGATTATCCATACAAGTCAATGGTCAACACTACAGTATGATGGCCAGCTCCTAGCTTGCTGTGTTGTGAGTGGTGCATAGGTGGACTTTAAATATGGTGGCAGTGGGGTAAGTACCAGACCAAACATTTCCTTCTCTGTGGCTACTCAATGCCCAAGAAAGGTAACCAGGAGCCCAGCCGCAGTGAAGAATTAATGTGAGAGAGTGCAGAAGCTGTTTACAAGGATGATTCCAGGAATGAGGAACTTCAGTGATGAAGATAGATTGAAGAAGTTGGAACTGTTCTCCTTGGAGAGAAGAAGGCACAGAAAAGATCTGACAGAGGTTTTCAAAATTATGACCGGGGTGGGACAGAGTAGATAGGGAGAAGCTGTTCCCACTCGTAAAAAGAACAAAAACAAGAGTGGGGTAGATTTAACGTGATATACAAACAAAGCAAGGATGATGTGAGAAATAAATTACTTGTTCACACAGCAAGTAATTAGGGCCTAGAATGCTCTGCCTGGAAATGTAGTGGAGGCAGGTTCAAGTAAAACATCAGTTAAAGAGGGGGTTGGATGGAAATAGTGCGTACAGTTAAGGGGAAAAGGCAGGAGATTGGTACTAGGGGATAGAACCAGTGCATGGGCTGAATGGCCTCCTTCTGTGATTCTCTGATTCTGTAAAAGCTGCTCCACCTAATTTTGGGCCAAGCACCACAAAACTCATTCGACAAAACACTTCAACTGAAAATAGGACAATTCTTCCCACACTCTGTTACACAATTGAGTGGGCTCTGAATTAAGTGGAAAATGTGTAGCAGATATTTCTCCAGATTCCTGTGTGGTTCATTTCGAACAGGGTTTATTGTCTGAAGCCCATTATCTGTGGTAGTTGCTGTATCTTTATCGTGAGTCTGTCTCCCGCAGTGCACTGCCACAGGCAAGGACGAACTTTCTCTGCTTCTATTCCTACAGGTGGTTAAATACGCTGGGAATGTCAGCCAAGCAAGGGATAGATGTTGTGATCCGTAATTCCTTCTTTGACCATGGATATAATCACCTTGTGGATCAGAACTTCAACCCCCTACCGGTAAGCTTTGAGACATCTTCTCTTCTTACAATGTCACTCTTTAGAAACTTAAAGGATGTAGGAGTCAGAAAGAAAAAGTTGCTATAGTCCCATTCTCTCACGTGTAAGATCAAAAGACATAAGAGCAGAAATAAGCAACTGAGCCCATTACACAAGACCATGTCCTTACAGGTAAGGACAACAGATTTCATTCCCTAAAGTACATTAGCAAACCAGATAGGCTTTTACAACAATACTCATACAGTCAACTTGAGGCTGACTTTTAACTGAGTTCAAGTTTCACCATCTGCTGTGGTGAGATTTGAACCCATGTTCCCAGAACACTGGGCCTCTGGATGACTACTCCAGTGACATTACCACTCTGTCCCCCCATAATCCATTTAGTAGATGTAAATCTGTATAGCTTAGAGGAAATCCCAGCCCAGTATGAATTCTTTAGTCCTCAAAACTCTCCAAGAGTAATGGAAACTATGTGGAATTCTTTCAACTCCTCTCTTATTCCAAAATTATCAAATTCTGATGAAAAACCAACAGTGAAATATCAATAAAAGGTGCAATTGTTCTGAGTAATTGTAAATTTCTGGGATAAAAAGCCAAATCCCCAAGTGAAATTCAGAATTATATTTTCGGCATTGTGCTGGTGTGGAGGAGAGCAGGAGGAATTGCAACCCCTCATGCTATTTCCACATAGAGTGAACCTACCTACAAATCCTTCGGCATCTTTCACAAGGCGGAAAAGTTCATAGATTGGACAATCCAATTGTTTCCAACCAAAGGCAGGGCAGCAGGACAAATACATATATGGCACCATGTAGGAAAGAAAGTGCAGCCTTTATATAGCACCTGGCATAATCTTGGGATGTCCCAAAATGCTCTTGAGCTGATGAAGTGTGGTTGTTGTTGTAAATAAGGCAGTCAATTTGTACACAAACAGTGATGAAGTCACACTGAGATATTCTTTCGTGGTGTTGATTGAGGGATAAATATTGACCAAGCATTGGGAAGATATCCCATGCTCCTCTTCGATATCGCGCCAATGGATGTTTAAGGGCCTCCCGAGGGAGCAAATGGGCTCTCAGTTTAACATTTCAACACAACATTGATTTCCTCGCTACAGTACCAACATAACAGCCTGGATCTTCTTGTTTGGCCTTTAGAGAGGAAGTCGAATGTACAATCATGTGATTTAGGGAGAATCTACAGACCTGACTGAATCCTATAAACAAGATCCATATATTTTCTCCCCCTTGGTCCAGGAACTCCCTACCTATGTCCGTGACACCACCCACGCCCTCCACCTCCTCCAGAACTTCCAATTCCCCGGTCCCCAACACCTCATCTTTACCATGGACGTCCAGTCCCTCTACACCTGCATTCCCCATGCAGATGGCCTTAAGGCCCTCCGCTTCTTCCTGTCCCGCAGGCCCGACCAGTCCCCCTCCACTGATACCCTCATCCGCTTAGCCGAACTCGTCCTCACACTCAACAACTTCTCTTTCAATTCCTCCCACTTCCTACAGACAAAGGGGGTAGCCATGGGTACCCGCATGGGCCCAAGCTACGCCTGCCTCTTTGTAGGTTACGTGGAACAATCCCTCTTCCATACCTACACCGGCCCTAAACCCCACCTCTTCCTCCGTTACATTGATGACTGTATCGGCGCCGCCTCGTGCTCCCACGAGGAGCTCGAACAGTTCATACACTTCACTAACACCTTCCACCCCAACCTTAAGTTTACCTGGACCATCTCTAACACCTCTCTCCCCTTCCTGGACCTCTCTGTCTCCATATCGGGCAACCACCTCGAAACCGATATTCATTTCAAGCCCACCGACTCCCACAGCTACCTAGAATACTCCTCCTCCCACCCACCTTCCTGCAAAAATGCTATCCCCTATTCCCAATTCCTTCGCCTCCGCCGCATCTGCTCCCAGGATGAGGCATTCCACTCCCGTACATCTCAGTTGTCCTCGTTTTTCAAGGACCGTAACTTCCCCTCCTCGGTGGTCGAGAACGCCCTCAACCGTGTCTCCCACATCTCCCGCACCTCATCCCTCACACCCCGTCCACGCAATAAGAACCAAAAAAGAATCCCCCTCGTCCTCACGTACCACCCCACCAACCTCCGGATCCAACGCATCATCCTCCGACACTTCCGCCATCTGCAATCCGACCCCACCACCAAAGACATCTTTCCCTCCCCACCTTTATCTGCTTTCCGGAGGGACAACTCTCTCCGTGACTCCCTTGTCCGCTCCACACTCCCCTCCAGCTCCACCACACCCGGCACTTTTCCCTGCAACCGCAGGAAGTGCTACACCTGCCCCCATACCTCCTCCCTCACCCCCATCCCAGGCCCCAAGAAGACTTTCCACATCAAGCAGATGTTCACCTGCACATCTGCCAATGTGGTATACTGCATCCGCTGTACCCGGTGTGGCTTCCTCTACATCGGGGAAACCAAGCGGAG